ATGTAACCGGACTGGTAGCCAGAAGCGTTCTGTCAATATGCCTCTGAGGTAGTTCAAAGAGGTGAGACAAAAGTAGGATAATTACAAAACCAGCTCCGACTACTGATGCCTAAAACAGGTGACTTGGTGAAAGTGCATACACTGATGGGAGAGTGGAATCTGGGAACAGGTCTTCCTCTACCTCCCTGAGTTGAGAGACACGTAGCCAGAACCAGTCAGGATGCCGCTCTGATCTCAAAAGCAGATCCGACGCCACCCTCCGTGTATCTCTGTTGTACTCAGTAGACATCTGCAAAACAGCCACAGTGAAAAACAAGAGTGGCATGGAAAGGCAGGCACCGATCCGGCTGGCTTACTCACCTCAAGGGCCTCCCACCACCCAGGAGGCGGTCTAGAGCCCACCAGAAAGCCTCAGAGGGACTGGGTTGGGCTAATGTCTTATGGGAGGAGGGGTGGGTGCTGGATCAGCACGGCAGGGGCTGTGACTCAGTAATTAGCCTGTAGCACATGGCGGGGATGAGAAGACAACACTAGGCAGACGCCACATCAGGGGCCAGGGAGACGAGGCAAGAGCCCATGTGGCCAGCAGACGGTAGAGAGACAAATGCAGGGAAAAAAGAGAGACATGGAACACAGGGGAGAAAATGGATCCTGTAATTTTTTTGAAAAAATACAGCAGGGTTGTTATTTCTTCCCTGCTCTGGGACATGCTGTGTCTTTTGCTTTTGTTTTGGTCTTTTGAAGTTCAGAGAAGCAGGGCCAGAGATAACTATTGGGAAGACTTCAAACTGCAACACAGTGAAGTGGGTCAAAACGTCTTTCACAAGTATGCTACAGTGAAAACAGCTCTGACGTATGGTTCAGTCATTCTGACGCATGTAACTATTCTGAAAAAGTTTGTTTGTGCCATTAACTTGTGCCAATAACTTGAAGGAATAAAGGCTAGGACCTCCCTTCACCCTTTGATGACTAAACTTTAAAGGGAACAATAAAAACGTGTGTTCACCAGAAAGAATTGTTGACAGGGGAGTCATGTAGCCAGTGGACATTCTGTGAAGGGGAAGTCATTCACTAACAGTTGGCAAGACACACTGATCTAACTGTGTTTCATCTTAGCCTCAAGGCCTGAGTCTTGTGAATCAGTTTTGAGTGTTAAATATTAATCCAGTCACTTCTAAACCTTAAGCATGCCCTACAACTCACATTAGTAAATGCTTTTCTAAGTGACTTGTATACTGTTCAACAAATTATAAAAGTTGCGATCAGAGACCCACATCAGACTAGCCTTAATTACCCAGATCCGTGTTTGCACAGCTGTCAGGTAAGCAAGGCATGCTTAGGCCTGGCGAAAGTGCAGATAGTCTGATATTACAAACCTATCTGTTATGTAACTTGGGAATCCAGGCCATTTTCAGATACACCCTCGAAGATGACTGCCTGCTTGAATTATCATCTCTTCACACACCTGATAATGCTTGGATACTGCTTTTGCTCTAGTGCTCAGTGTGTGGGTATCTAAAGTAAGGGTGTACGAGCAGGGACCTAGCAGGGGATTGGGATGAGAGAGAGCAGTGTATTAATCATATAAAGGCGGGCAATAGGCAGCCTACCCAATCCTCAGACATTCCTGTCACTCGCTGAAACCTGAGATGGACACAGGGCAAGAGTGAAAAAGAAGGAGAAAGGGAAGACCAGATATCCTCATCAAGGGTTATTTCTCTAGGCTAAAATGAGTGGGAGGTGACCCCTGGCTGTTTCTCATGTTGTTGCTGACTCATTTCACTGTGCTAAGTAGTCTTTGGGCAAAGATGAAAGGAGCAACCCTGTTGTCAAGCATTTTGACTACGCCCCTTTCAAAGCAAAGCTCTCAGAAAATGCAGAAGACTTCTGGCACAGCAAAACTGGCTTGGTAGGAACAACATTAGCCATTTTGGAAGCAGATGTTACATGGGTTTATCTTTGACCATAAGGCCGTTCAAACATCTGTGCTGCGCCACAGCAAATGATTCATACTTGTGAATGACTTGTAGGCTCCTTAGCAGGTCGCACGGTCAATCTTTTTCATGTAAACACTTTTGCTTCCAGACTCTCTGTGGGTTCCTCGAGATCGTGTTGTGCTAACTCCATACGCAATCTTATTTTAGCAATTCCATTAATGAAAGTAAGTGTGTTTATCGAGGCTGTCCTGTTCTTGTGTAGGTCCCATTGTCTCTTCATGCACTACATGTCTCTGGGGTAAATCAGATAATCTTGGCTGAACTCTAAACAACTTTTCTGTGACTCTTGATTGAATTCAACCATTCATCACTTTTGTATAAACAGAGTCAAAAAGCAAATGGGGGGCATGGGAAGGCGGGCTTGTTTTTGTACTAGCCATTGTCTTCAAAACGCAGCTCGTTTGTCTTGATTTAAGACCCAATACAAACTGGGATCAGGTGCTTAATGTCTACGGCCTCTCCGCATTAACGACGCGTGCATGCTAGAAACTATCATTTGTGCCAGTCTACCAGAGCTTTACACTCCTACAAGCACTTTGTGCTGAACATTGGACCAACAAGGTGCACATATCCATTCTTCCAGAAGACTAAAGTAGCAGACCAGCAGTAAACAAGTCTTACATAGATTTTACTGTCTTTGCCAGTGCACTCCATTCACCCTGGCCTGAACACTCACGGTTGACTGAACTCGAGGGAGCACGTCTTGAGAAATTGTTTTGCAAGATAGCACGATATTTTGGCAACCCCCGCTGCAAGTATCAGCATTTTTTTTTTAACAGCACACAACTGTTTTTCCATGCGAGGAGAAAGCTTGTGCATGTGTGTTGGAGAGTGTTCGTGCACGTTCATGTGCCAGTGCATTTGTGAATGTAAACTCTGCGACTGTGTGCAAAAAGAGAGCAGGCCCTTGTGCATGCAAGAATATGCAAGCGTGGTAATGATTCATATCACATCTTGCACATCGCTCTGGAGTCATTATGTTTTAGCTTTCATTCTGACATGCTTGCAAAGGTGAATGCCTTTTTCCATGATGTATTAACAGCTGGTGGTGTGTAAGTGTGTTTGAGAGGTAGGGAGTCAGAATTCTGTGTGTACAATCACCAGCTGTGGTCGAAGCCAGTCAGCATTTTATCGTAGGGAAACTAGCGGCCACTGAACTCACCCTGCCCTTCCGAGCCAAAGAAGAGGGTCATATTCTTAAAGAGTCCACCGGGCCGAGGCATGTGCTAACATCCCACTTGCATACTCGTCGCTTTATTCCAGTCCTCAGGAGTACAGAGGGGGAGTGTGAGACTGCTGACTGCTTAACCAGCATGGCATCTTTCCTCCCTCCCTCTCTCCCTCCCTCCCTTCTCCCTGGTCAGGCATGCGGCCCCTCCTGAGCCGTGCTGGGTCAGCGGTGGGGGTTAATGGATGTGGTATGAATGGACAGTGAAGCAGCATCATGACAAACTTCATTCAGTTGACACTGACCACCCTTTAGCCAAAAGGGAAATTCCCTGCCATGACATGCATGTGTGAGGTTGCACAAGCACACTTACATCAAAACAAAGAGAAAGAAAGAAAGAAAGAAAGAAAGAAAGATGAAACTTGAATCATGCATTAACAAGGAGGCCCATAATATCTGCATAAAAGGACTGAAAGCCCAGGGCTCAGCCAATGACCAAATAATGAACTCAAACTAAATGCACAAGCACATTAAATGACGCAATGTTCTGAAAGTCAGCTTTACACGAAAATAATCACTCTTGTAGTTAAAATTCAAGCCTGCTGGTCATGCATGAAATGAAACACGACTATGTAAAATAGGTAAAGTGTGTCATGTCATGAGAGGCCATGTGTGGCAGTCAACATCAGTCTGGTGTCAGACTCTTCATGTACAGTATTTGCTAAATTATTACATTGCTCTCATTCTTGCACCATAGCAATAAAAGAGTCCAGTTTTGCACATAATATCAGTATAGCTGTTCAAATGATTGAAAAACAATGATATGGTCTGAATTTCCTAATTCAATATCACAGTATTTAACCCATTTAATCCTGCCGGTAACATTTGTGACATAAATTTACAGAGTTATCAACTATAAATTAAAGTGAAGAATGACTACATTCCATAAGAAAATGTTTACAGGACTGTCAGAAGTAGTCACATGGCCAGAGCTATTTAATTCCAATCTGAAAGCTCAATAAAAGAAATCACGTAAAACATGTCATAATACACATACTGTTTAACAGATATGATTCCTATAACATTTAAAAGAGTATATAAACAGTCTATTATTGCTGTCTCATGATCACAATACATGCAAACATGTCGGTGGTCACATTTGTGGCCAGTGGGGAAAAAAAAAAAAAAACAAAGGTTGATCAATCTCAATATGTGACTGGCTGATTTGCATAATCAAACTGGAAGGGGAAAAAAAGTGTAACAAAGTAAAACGATATGTATTATTGTATTAATCGATACCTTTTCCCACAAATGCCTGATAACACAACATTATCTTAGTCTATTGTATGCAACTTTCTGTTGGAACTTATTGAACAACTAAGCGATTTTTCCTCACTGGTTTCAATTGTGACTGGTCACATATAAAACATATTCACTAACTTGGTTGAAATTAGACTAGGAGTGAACTACATGTGCTCACTTAGCTGTGTAAAAACCAATGGGTTCGTATTACTATGTTACATAATAGAGATTATTTGTATACCATTAAATCAACGGCTGGCACATCTGGAGCGCCGCGTGCAGGCTCTTATACCTGTCTATCACTCGCTGATCAAAAGCATTTGATGTTGCAACGAGTTTCGGAAAATTACGGTCTGACATCAAATCATGACTGTATGTTAGCCTACATTATCTCGATTTCAATGCATTTCACACAGACATTACCTCAGTATGCACAAAAGTTACTCATAACTGACTAGACAAGTGATGAAGACGCGTTTTGCAATAATCTAAAATCAAAACAATAAGGATGAGAAAACGATTAGAGCACTTACCGTCTACTTTTTCAGATTTTATTATAGTTAACGGCTTAATATCGACAGCTGCTGTCATTGTCACGCATTCAATGCACAAAGTCAGTTTGGATGTTTTTAGTCCCAAATGTGTCCTCCAAATCCGTCTATGTGCCTGGAGTTTCTTAGAAATGACACCGGTTTCCCCTTAACAAGGTCCGATCTCTGAAGTACTGGAGCGTCTCTTTTCCTCCTTCTCTCTTTCTCCGTTCTATCTCAATCACTCTTTCATTCCCTCCCTCTGTTAGTTGCCCCGGTCCAGGGCGGTTCTGTGTGCGGCACGGAAGAGGCTGATCCCCGCGTAAAGGGGGCGGCGTTACACGTTGATTCAATTCAATTACACTCCACTCTGCTGTCTCTCTGGACGCGACGCACGCGCCGCCAGAGCTCTGGAAGCGTTGAAGCTGCATGTCATTTCAAACCGTCCACTAAATCAGCTGTGAGATCAGCTACAATAAATAGGACGATAAACTATGTTTTTTTGTTTGTTTGTTTTTTGGAAATCCATTGGTATAATTAACATACGTATTTATTAATTTATTAATTTATTAATTAATTTATTAATTAATTAATTTATTTATTTAAATAAAACAAATAGCTTTTATATAGGTATGTAAAGGTTTCCTCTATTGGAAAGATTCTAATGTTTTGATGAAAAAAAAAGTGGTTATTTATTTATTTATTGTCATAAAAAGCTGCAATAAAAGCAGTAGCTGATAAAAGAAACTGAAGGTGCATCGCAACACGTCATTGCACTTTGGAACAGACGCTTCCAGACCGTTTTATTGATTGTCAGAATGTAGAAAATTATGAATTCCTCTGCACTGTAAAAAAAAATGATTGTGATTTTGACAGTAAAAGACTGTAAAAATGATACAGTAAAAACCTGTTAGTTGGTTAACAGTAAGTTCCCATAATATAGTGTGAATTAATTTAATTATATTTAACAGTAAAATACTGTTAAAATTACAGTTTTTGGAAATGAAAATGATCACCATTGTATAATTTACAGTGCAAAAAAATTTAATTTGACACTCCCAGAATTACTTGCATCACACTTCATGTTTCTTCTTAGTTTTTTGTTTTTTGTTTACATTAGGGTTTTGTCTTACATCTAATGTTGTTAAATGAATGTTTATTGCATTATTTCAATGTGTTACCATGATGGTGTTTAGTATTTGTGTGAATGACACAGTGTACCTTCTATATATAAGCTAAGCATTTCCCTTTCTCAGCTTGTGGTTTGTGATGAGCTTTGATTCATCATGTGACTTTCTTATCACCATCTGTTTTTGGTGGTTATCATTGTATTTTGTATAGTGGTACAAAAAAGATATTAGTACTTCAATAGGTTGGTATATCAACATTACATCAGTTAATGAAAAATGTTTTTTTTTTTTTTGTTGTTGTGAATTTAAGGTAAGTCTGTAAAACCTAAAATGTTGCTATTGTATTTTTACGGTGAAGTTCTGGCAACCACAGCTGCCGGTATTTTACCGTAAATGTCACATATTTTAATTTTTATTTTTTTTAAAGTGTGGCTCTTCAGTCTCAGTCTACCCTTTTCCTTGCACTACATCTTTAAGAGCCAGATGAATATTTACCAGTCATTCCAATCAGCACACACCTTCTTGTTTTCTAATGGCTGTGCACAAGACTTCGATACATGGTTTCCCACAATTGTGTTGTATGTAAATACAGTTATGTCACCATTGAAAAATCAGTGTAAACACTTTTCAAATGTGGCTTTTGCATCCCCATCCCTTGTTTTGGCACTAAAGTGAAGCTCCAAGATTCTAATGTTTTGATGAAAAAAAAAGTGGTTATTTATTTATTTATTGTCATAAAAAGCTGCAATAAAAGCAGTAGCTGATAAAAGAAACTGAAGGTGCATCGCAACACGTCATTGCACTTTGGAACAGACGCTTCCAGACCGTTTTATTGATTGTCAGAATGTAGAAAATTATGAATTCCTCTGCACTGTAAAAAAAAATGATTGTGATTTTGACAGTAAAAGACTGTAAAAATGATACAGTAAAAACCTGTTAGTTGGTTAACAGTAAGTTCCCATAATATAGTGTGAATTAATTTAATTATATTTAACAGTAAAATACTGTTAAAATTACAGTTTTTGGAAATGAAAATGATCACCATTGTATAATTTACAGTGCAAAAAAATTTAATTTGACACTCCCAGAATTACTTGCATCACACTTCATGTTTCTTCTTAGTTTTTTGTTTTTTGTTTACATTAGGGTTTTGTCTTACATCTAATGTTGTTAAATGAATGTTTATTGCATTATTTCAATGTGTTACCATGATGGTGTTTAGTATTTGTGTGAATGACACAGTGTACCTTCTATATATAAGCTAAGCATTTCCCTTTCTCAGCTTGTGGTTTGTGATGAGCTTTGATTCATCATGTGACTTTCTTATCACCATCTGTTTTTGGTGGTTATCATTGTATTTTGTATAGTGGTACAAAAAAGATATTAGTACTTCAATAGGTTGGTATATCAACATTACATCAGTTAATGAAAAATGTTTTTTTTTTTTTGTTGTTGTGAATTTAAGGTAAGTCTGTAAAACCTAAAATGTTGCTATTGTATTTTTACGGTGAAGTTCTGGCAACCACAGCTGCCGGTATTTTACCGTAAATGTCACATATTTTAATTTTTTTTTTTTTTAAAGTGTGGCTCTTCAGTCTCAGTCTACCCTTTTCCTTGCACTACATCTTTAAGAGCCAGATGAATATTTACCAGTCATTCCAATCAGCACACACCTTCTTGTTTTCTAATGGCTGTGCACAAGACTTCGATACATGGTTTCCCACAATTGTGTTGTATGTAAATACAGTTATGTCACCATTGAAAATCAGTGTAAACACTTTTCAAATGTGGCTTTTGCATCCCCATCCCTTCTTTTGGCACTAAAGTGAAGCTCCACCAATGAGACGGAGCGTTGCATTTTAGTGTACAGTCACCAGGGATCACAAAGCTGTGATTACATCCGACCTGGAAACGAGTTTGGTCATTTCTTGTGCACAAGGAGGCCCATACTATCTGCATAAAAGGAAAGAAAGCCCAGGGCTCAGCCAATGACCAAATAATGAACTTACACTAAATGCACGAGCACATTAGATGACGCAATGTTCTGAAAGTCAGCTTGACACGAAAATAATCACTCTTGTAGTTAAAATGCAAGCCTGCTGCTCATGCATGAAATGAAACACGACTATGTAAAGCGGTAAAGTGTGTCATGTCATGAGAGGCCATGTGTGGCAGTCAACATCAGTCTATGTCAGACTCGTCATGTACAGTATTTGCTAAATTATTACATTGCTCTCATTCTTGCACTGTAGCAATAAAAGAGTCCAGTGTTGCACATAACATCAGTATAGCTGTTCAAATGATTGAAAAGACAGCAATATGGTCTGAATATAATAATGCAACATCACAGTATGTAACCCATTTAATCCTGCCGGACAGTTTACAGAGTTGTAATCAATAAATGAAACTGGCTACATTTCATAAGAACATTTTTACATGACTGGTGGACGTAGTCACATGACCAGAGCGGTTTAATTCCAATCTGAAAGCTCCATAAAAGAAAGCATGTAAAATATGTCATAATACACACACTGTTTAACAAATCTGATTCCTATAATGTATTATTGCTGTCTCATGATCAGAATACATGCAAACATGTCTGTGGTCATATCTGTGGCCATTGGGACAAAAAAAAAAAAAGATTAAATCTCAATATGTATCTGGCTGATTAACAATCAAAATGGAAGAAAAAAGGGGAGAAACAAATGTAACAAAGTAAAATATATGTATTAGTGTATTAATTGATATCCTTTTCCCACAACTGCCTGATAATACAACATTATCTTAGTCTATTGTATGCAACGTTCTGTTGGGTCTTATTGAACAGCTAAGCAATTTTCCCTCACTGGTTACAATTGTGACCACATATAAAACATATTCACTAACTTGGTTGAAATTAGACTAGGAGTGAACTACATGTGCTCACTTAGCTGTGTAAAAACCAATGGGTTCGTATTACTATGTTACATAATAGAGATTATTTGTATACCATTAAATCAACGGCTGGCACATCTGGAGCGCCGCGTGCAGGCTCTTATACCTGTCTATCACTCGCTGATCAAAAGCATTTGATGTTGCAACGAGTTTCGGAAAATTACGGTCTGACATCAAATCATGACTGTATGTTAGCCTACATTATCTCGATTTCAATGCATTTCACACAGACATTACCTCAGTATGCACAAAAGTTACTCATAACTGACTAGACAAGTGATGAAGACGCGTTTTGCAATAATCTAAAATCAAAACAATAAGGATGAGAAAACGATTAGAGCACTTACCGTCTACTTTTTCAGATTTTATTATAGTTAACGGCTTAATATCGACAGCTGCTGTCATTGTCACGCATTCAATGCACAAAGTCAGTTTGGATGTTTTTAGTCCCAAATGTGTCCTCCAAATCCGTCTATGTGCCTGGAGTTTCTTAGAAATGACACCGGTTTCCCCTTAACAAGGTCCGATCTCTGAAGTACTGGAGCGTCTCTTTTCCTCCTTCTCTCTTTCTCCGTTCTATCTCAATCACTCTTTCATTCCCTCCCTCTGTTAGTTGCCCCGGTCCAGGGCGGTTCTGTGTGCGGCACGGAAGAGGCTGATCCCCGCGTAAAGGGGGCGGTGTTACACGTTGATTCAATTCAATTACACTCCACTCTGCTGTCTCTCTGGACGCGACGCACGCGCCGCCAGAGCTCTGGAAGCGTTGAAGCTGCATGTCATTTCAAAACGTCCACTAAATCAGCTGTGAGATCAGCTACAATAAATAGGACGATAAACTATGTTTTTTTGTTTGTTTGTTTTTTGGAAATCCATTGGTATAATTAACATACGTATTTATTAATTTATTAATTTATTAATTAATTTATTAATTAATTAATTTATTTATTTAAATAAAACAAATAGCTTTTATATAGGTATGTAAAGGTTTCCTCTATTGGAAAGATTCTAATGTTTTGATGAAAAAAAAAGTGGTTATTTATTTATTTATTGTCATAAAAAGCTGCAATAAAAGCAGTAGCTGATAAAAGAAACTGAAGGTGCATCGCAACACGTCATTGCACTTTGGAACAGACGCTTCCAGACCGTTTTATTGATTGTCAGAATGTAGAAAATTATGAATTCCTCTGCACTGTAAAAAAAAATGATTGTGATTTTGACAGTAAAAGA